AATAATCTAGCAGATACAGTGAACATCTGCAAAGGTGCTCTATGTTCTACTATACTGAGCGTTACTTGGAAATTGTATTTATATGTAGATATACGTACTACAAATCAATAGCACATTGTGTCTGCTGGACAGAGTGCGATTATTCAACGTGATACTTTCAGCTAGCTAAACAAACCAGAGCTATTCTTTACACATTCCGCAATGAGTGCTGCTGAGATCAGCACTGCCGTCGCAAAAAAACAAGCATTTCTCATTTACAACAGCCTATGTTTTTTCTTCTCCCTTTCACGGCTCACAGAGCTGCCTGAAGAGGGAGGGAGAATGCGACTGATCGTATAACTTTTTCATGGTCCACTTTGCTCTACTTTCAAGCCCTAAGTCACTGCCCAAAGCACGCTTGAATAGTGACATAACGACTCAGACACACTCACATACATGCAGCATATTATACACCTGCACATGCAGAGGTGCACCGACAGCGATGCGCGCTTGCTATTCCTTTTTTAAGCCGTTGTTCAGAGGTTGGTAATGTTGATCTGTCTGTCAGATGTGAATACAGCTCCATTGCCTTCAGATGTTTGTGGGTCCAGGGTGAAATATCTCAGCAATTATTAGATTATTTGCCATTACATTTAGTGCATGCATTCAAGAGGGTAATGACCAAAGACTTGGCTGTGCCCCATAGTCAAAGATATATCTCAGTATCTATCTAAAGGATACGTAGCAAATTTTGTTCTACCAGGATGATCATCAAAACAAAATGTAACTTCTGCCAACATATATTGGTTTATAGCAGCATACCTGCAAAAGTAATGGCACTCTTCAGCCTGTTAGCATCTTTACCAACACTGAGAAGGAACACTGACAAGTGCCTTAAGTATTTATTTTAAACTGGTTGTTATCCATCAACCGGTCCCTTTAGAGGTCGTCACAGCGGTTCATCTGCCTCAATCTCACCCCGTCCCTAGCATCCTCTTCTGTCAAACCAACTCTTTACATGTCCCCTCTCACTTCATCCATAAACCTTCTCTGAGGTCTTTCTCTTTCCCTCCTGCCTGGAAGCTCCATATTTAACATCCTTTGTCCAATATATCCACTACCCCTCCCCTGCACATGTCCAAACCATCTTGCCTCGCTTACTTTGTCTTCAAACTGCTCCGCCTGAGCTGTCCCTATGTACTCATCTCTAATCCTGTCCCTTCTGGTCACTCCAAACTAAAATCTTGCCGTCTTTAAGCTTAAACCAGTGTTATGACTAAATAGAGCCTCAGAGAGTTCAAAGTGTGGCCACATATTTTGTTATTTCATCATGGGACATTCCTGAAATGACAACTTTAATTAGAAGATGATGAGTCGTAAATTTGATCGAATATCTTTAGAATTAACTTAAAAAAAAATATCGAGTGCACATAAAATGTATTAGTATTGTATGTTATTTCTTAAGGTTCAAGAATGTTTCTGCTGTGCCTGTTGCCAATGCATGTTCACCTGGGAACTGGAGAAAAATAAATTGAAAGCTATAATTTATCACTGAGCTCCAGGTTCTCCAACATTTAGTAACGCGATCCACTATAAATCAACATGGCAGCACTCAGTGAAGAAATTTCTGCCGAGAAGAGTTGGCAAGTTTGAGCTCATAATAACGACAGCATCAGCTCCGATCACCGGTAATAGAATTGAATGGGCCCATGAAATTTAATTTAAAACAGAATTATGTTTATTTCAAGTAAGCAACGGTGCTTTGGGAGCTGAATGAAGCCTCATTCTGACTATGGTCATTAAATAAAACCTGCAGGGGCCTTCTGCTTGTTTTGAAATATCGAACAGTAAAGAAGAAATAAAAAGTCAAAAATGCATTAACTCAACACTCCAATTAAGCAAAGACAAAGATGTCTGATGTGTTGCTCCTATGGTAGGAGCCACCATAGATTAACAGGATTGTCCAGCACGAAGTGGACGAAAGTCTAATAAGCACAAACGTACCCTTCACAGAAAATAGATTTTCCTTTCATCTATTGGTAGAAACCTTTTTTTTAGAACTCGCATAAAAGGACAGGCTGATTACGCAGTAAAAGCGTAATCATTCCATCATTGTTCAACTTTTGCTCCACACCTGTGCTTAACTTCCACTTTCATTTCAGCCTTTATTTCATTTGGTAATACCTTCATTCTCCCTGCTTGTCTCCTGACTATTTTCCCTCAGTGCACTTTCCTTTTGCCTTCTTTCACTTACATTCTTGCCAAATGACCTTCCTGTCAAGGAGGCAGACAGGTCTTCTTGCACACACACACACACACACACACACACACACACACACACACACACACACACACTATTTTGAAGAATAATGGTCAACTCTTACTCTTCTTTTAAGTTTCTCCGTGACTACAATCAAGTTATCACCATCTTTTTCTTTGCCAAACACAGCACTCCCAAAAACACGAGAGCTATAATTAAAGTAATTGTTTCAACACATTTTCTACCTTTTAACTTCTCTGTAACACTGTCAGCAAAAACATCAACACACTCCGTCACCAGCAATGGTGCTTAGACCTCATCATATCATCCACGATAACAACCCCTAATAATTTCAGACATGTTGGAAAAGTGTGCAGAACAACCACATGTCAGCCTCAGATGACAATTTGCTACTTAAAAAAGAAGCTACTTCAACAACCCCCAACATCTTTCGTGGGAACCCAGAAAACAGTTCCCATGAAGCAAACATGTTTCAAGGCAAAAATCACTGTGGATTAGAACCACACTATGAAGGACGAGGAGCTACTAGCAGCTGCAGATGTGCGACCCAAAGATAAGCAACCAAGCATTGCTAGCTACTGATGAAGCTACATGGTGGTAAAGGAGGGCTTTAAGCAGCTGGTTAAAAAGATAAAACATTCCCAGGTATAAAATGTTTTTCAGTTTTATTGCATAGCTCCTGAACACTTACAAGGTTAAGTTACTTTAGTCATTGTTAATCTAAAGTGCTACAATTTCCAGAAAAAAACCCATAAAATCAGCTACTTTTATGCTTACGTTTAACCTGGATATAATGGTGTGTCACCACTAATGCTGCTGCTGCTGGTACCTTGACTGAACAGATTCACACTTTGAATTAGGAAGCGTGCCATCAATGACAGTAGCTCATGTGAAAAGGAAGACGAAAATTGCCCTTCATTTCTTACATACACAAATGCTGGTGTCTGCCAGTGTCATCGATAAAACTTTGATCAGTATTTTTTGCTACATCTTTAGATAAATAACCAGAAATAAATACGTTTTCTTGTAATATTGTGATATAGTTTTGAGGCTGGCCCCTAATTAGAGCTCCTTTGAATGTGAAGTGATGACCAAAAACTCACACACACATATGCACATGCACACACTTACAACTTAACACCTCAGTCCCCCAGTCACAGCCTTGCAGGGAAAGGCATTAAAATTACATGACAAGCACACCTTAGACCAATCCTACCCACAATCTGTGCTCATGGGATACCGTCTCAGACACTTCAAATAGTAAAGCTTTTGACCTCTGTTTGCCCTAGCTGCCTTGCAGCTTCTTTGCGCACACACGCACACACACACACGCACACACACACACATATATAACATTGTCCTCTGTGCATACACTGCAGATCCTTCTTCAATCGCACCCTATCTGGCTGAGACTCAAATTCCATTTCACGTCCGGTTTACTATTGATTTTACCCTCGCCACTATTCACCAGCTACACGCCCTGTACCTACACACACCCAACATCCAATCTGTTCCCTCCTCACCCCCCCATTTTTTATTTTTCCACTCCTGCTCTCCCTCCTACACTTCCTATTTGTCCTCTTGACCCATCCATTCTTGCCCATCATTCCTTTGTAGAGCCTCACAGCTGAATATAGTGCATGAGAGTGAACAAGTATTGATCAGGAAAAAAGATGAATGACAAACAATTTCTTAACAAATAATATGCATGCAAGCTGGCACACACAACTAAATTAAATGTATGCATCAACATAAGAGCACCTATGAATGCCTGAATGCTCAGTATATCACGCGCACACACACACACAGAGAGACAAAGCCATAAAGTATGCACAGAAGTGGACCGGCGCCAAAACAAGCCATTGGGCTTTGAGGCCTTATTTCCATGTTGGAAACCATTTTAACTAGCAGACTGACTCATCGTTAATTATTAACACTCACAGTAATGCTCAGAAACAAAGCTCGAATATATTAAAAAAATGTTTTTATATCCAAGCTTTGTTTGCACATCGCGGCTACACAATGCACAGATGCACACATCTGTACATTGTGTACCAAGCTGTGGAATTAAATGTACCACGAGGGGGCTGTTTTCCCTCCACATTCCATCTCACCTTTTCAAGGTCTTTGTGCATTTACCTTTCACATTATTCTGCGCCTGTTGCTTCGCTCACTCTACAAAGAAACTGCTTTGCTGTTTACTTGTCATGCTCCGATGCCTCACCCAATTCTTTACCAGTCTTTCACCTTTTTATTCCTTTGCATTCTTTTTTTGTCCATGCAAAGAATGGCTTAGTACTTAAATAACCCTATTTCTCAGTTCCATTTTTTTTCTGATTGTTTTATTTTTTCTCCCCAGTTATTAAATCTCCCACACTGCACACACTTATTTTTATCCTGATAGATTCTTCCATTCTCCTGCTTGGCAGCTCCAAGTCCACCTCGCTCCCATCTCAGTTGTGGACATCACCAGTGGAAGCCTGTTAGATAGGCCCATCAATACACCGCTGGCCACAGAGACAGACGTCAATATATTGTCACTAAGCTGTCCCTACTCATCTCTAGAAGAACACAGCGGGCTAAGAGAGAAGGAAAAAGGGTGTGTAGTTGGGTGAGGAGGTGAAATGGAGATGAAAGCAACGAGTGGAAGAAAAAAAGAAAAAAGAAAAATCAGAGGTGGGGCCTGCCATCCGTCACTCCGTGCTGTCTGATTTACAAGCCTATTGGATTTTAGACTAACATGAATCACTGCTCCATAGAGGCATTACTCCCTGACAGAACGACAGAATGAATTAGACAGTGTGCTCATGTGTGAGAGGGGGAATAGGAAAGAGAGTAGGGGGTATATTTACACTTCTTTGAGATTATACAAAGACATTTCCGCAGCAACAATGAAGCTTAGCTAGGATCGTCTCACATTCGCAGTACTGCATGTACCCTTTCTATGACAACCAGCTCTCAGAAGAATTAACTATTGTGACAGTGTGCTGGATATAACCATCTGTACCCACAATTACTACTCAGAAACTACGAAAGGAAACACATAACTAGAATATAAAAATTCTCTATTACAAAGTGAACACTGTATATTGGTCTGCAGCTAATCATGCGTTAATTATAGATTGATCTAAAGATTGTTTTCTTGATCTATTTGGAAGAATTTTATTTTTAATTACGGAAAAAATAGGAAGAGATGTTCATCACAATTAGTCAGACCTCAGAGTGGCATCTTCATGTTCTTTGTTTTTGCTGAACCAGAAAAACATTTCGTTAACTGTAATGTAAGACAAATAATCACCATTGAGAAGTCGGGACCATAACATATTTTGTTCCATTTTTGCATGTATATGGCCAAAAGACAATGAGGCACTGGCCATGGGAATCTGATAACTAAGATGGATAAATGTGATGTACTAGAAGTAAAAAAAGTCCTGAAGGGACACGCTTTAGTAAAGTACACACACATGTGTTACAATGGCAGTGCAGTGTCAAAGAATCACTTATTTTGAGATCACAGATAATTGACAGCTATACTGAGCTTTAGATTTAATGGCTCATATTACAACCCTGTTTGCTTTTATGTAAAATGCACATTTAAAAAAATGACTTGCATCATCAAATAGCTGAATAATTGTAGCACACAGACTTTCAACAAATGTTTAAACCCGCTGGAACACGTCTTAATTTAAGTTATGTGGTATTCCAACTGGTTATAAAAGCAGATTCTAAGGTGGGTTTGGAGTTCTTTACAACTCTGGTTGAACAAATGATTCAAAAGTTTAGGAACAGTGCTTGAAAAAAAAGGTGGATTTCATCATCTACGCAACATAACATTAAATTATGCAGAGAATCTGAAGGATTCTTTCTAAGCAAGGGACAAGGCTAAAAATCAATGCCGAGTTGCCTTGCTCTTCAGACCTTTAGTCAGTACTGCATTAAAAACAGATGCGACCGTGTAATGAAAAACACTGCGTAGACTCAGGGACACTTCCAAAAACCACTGCCAGTGAACACATGTCATCAGTGCATCATTAAAAGAGTCATCTTAACCTTTTATTAACTTTGTGTACCAAGTTTAATAAAAGGGTTTGGATAATTTCAAATGACAGCTTTCAGTTTTTATTCACTCTTTCCACTACACCCCAGCTTTTTAGCTTAGAAACATATATATGAGGTCATTATGACTGGACTACCTTCTTAGCATTAGTCAAGTATGATCTGGCAGTTTCCTTCAATGCCGTCCCCTCCTCCTTTTCCTCTTCTGTTGCTTCTCTTCCTTCCCTCTCCTGCTGCTCCTTTGCCTTTTCCAACTGGAGGTAGCACACCCAGCCAGAGAGATACCACACCTGCGAGGCACAGAGACACAGACAGTTTATGTGTTGTGAGGTGCAAAGATTTAGAGTGACAGTCAGTTACGACAAGGGGAAAACATTTTCTGACCCTCAGAGAGAATGAAATCCAACATCTGTCTTTGACAAACAGGTTTCGCACATTTTACATGGAACCAGAAATACACAGTCTCAGACATGCACAGGCAATCAGTCACTCACATAATAATTCACCCTGACAAAATCATGACATAATGTACTCATTTACAAATGATAGCCCATAAGTGTAGCTTCCCATTAACTTCAAACTTCTTGTTTTCACAATTTTCAGTTTGTTTTTCCCCTCTCTGTAGCAAAAGATGCAATTAGTAAAATAAATACTCAACTGTAACATAATATAACATAATGAAAAAATTAATTGCCTCAGGAAAATCACATCTGGGCCTTTAAATTGATATCATATTCACAATTTAGATCGTTGGCAGTTTTGCACTAGCTATTACATTAAATGATGGTTTTAATATGGTTTGATTCCACAAATAATTCGAGTGTTGTACCTTATTATTCCTCACAAGTATGTTTTTGTGATCCCAAACATATAGCAAAAGACTCCAAGAACTATCACACTAAAATAAGAACAAGGAGTCTCAACACTTTAGACTACATCTGTGACTGCATGATATTTCACAAAACAGGACGTTCTACAATCTGTTGATTTTTGTAAGCGACAATACTGAAAGGACGAAAAGAAATCCCTAGGAATAACTATAATTGCTAGTTTAGAAGTTGCGATGATTAGGGTATCATTTACACAAACATCATAGATGTTTCTGTTTATCAAATGCTCAGAAAAGCAAGAATATACACAGATTTCCCTCAAATAAAGGAACACCGACTCCCTGCCTTTACTGTGTCGAGGCTTTTTGAGCCTAAGCATGCAATCACATCCTAAAGGTTTATTCTGAGACAAAATAAATCCTGATGTCACAGATAAACAACAGCTCTAATGCATCTAAATCATAGATAAGCTGTTCTTTAGCACAGGCTGTTATTAGGCTACCACATCCAAATACCTTCTTAGAATTAACCAGGTAATCTAGCTGCCAACTGAATGGCCCCATCTCTTTCACTTGGCTCAGTATACTATCATCACACTAGTCAAACAAACTGAGATGCAACACCTACACATTGGGATTACATGAAGAGCCTCTAAATGAAGTGAACTGATAAACAAAAAACATTCGTAGTCATGAATAAGTCACAGTCAAGAGGCTTATTAAAACCCCTCCCTACCTGGGAAGTTGAGCAGGTTATCAAAAATTAGACTGTTGATGGTTCGAAGCCTTAGAACACACATGCACACACACACACACACACTTCCAAATGCATCCACCTGTAAGTGTGTAATAAACAAAGCACTGTTCGACACCTTAGAACACACACACACTCACACACACACACACACACACACACACACACACACACACTTCCAAATGCATCCATCCATAAGTGTATAATAAACAAAGCACTGTACAAATTCAATAAAGACCTTTATAAGGGCATGAATAGGAGTAGAACAATGCAACATAAATGCCATTTCATTTTCTTTAAGTGTCTAAATGTTTTCACAGTGTGGTATTTTTCTTGCTCATAAAATGCAAAGAGGAATTTTTTCTAACGCTTAATACTTGCGTCTGCTTTAGAAGAAAAACATCTGTTCAGTTGTGTAATACTCATTTACTGAGTCAAGCTTTTAAATACCATACAGTTTTAAACCAATAAATATGATTGTGGATTTTTGATTTGCCCACCAGAGAATTACTAGCTCACTATCAATGTGAGAATATTCAAATATGTGTTTTAAAATATGTTTTTATCTTTTGACACAACACCAGATTAAATAAACTGCATTTTGAAGTATTACTTAATATGTTAAAACAATTATTTATCATGTATGAATCAGAGTTTTGTACCATATACACCAGACAGTTTATTAGGTACACCTTGCTATTACTATGTTACTCCACTTCAGAACTTTGCTGCACAGATTCAACAAACATGCTGGAAACATTCTTCCAGAGATTTGTGGTCCATATCGACATGATAGGATAACACAGTTGCTCCAGATTTGTCAGCTGCACGTCCATGATGAAAATCTAATTTTCCACCACATCCCAAAGCTGGTTTACTGGATTGAGATATGGAGACTTAGGAGGCAATTGGAGCACAGCGAACTGTACGTCACTGTTCACGTCACACCACAATATCCTGGTGGAAGCAAACTGTGACATTTAAAGGATACTCATTTGGTACTAAAGGGCTGAAGTGTGCCAAGAAAATATACCCCAAAATCATTAAATCCTCACCAGCACCCTGAACTGTTGATACCAGGCAGGATGGATCAGTGGTTTCATGTTGTTTACACCAGATTCTGACCTACGATCTAAAGGTCACAGCACAAATCGAGACTCATCAGACCGGGCAACATTTTTCCAATCTTCAGTTGTCCAATTTTGCTGCTGCAAATTGTAGCCTCAGGTTTCTGTTCTTAGCTGAGCAGCTGGTGTGGTCTTCTGCTACTGTAGCCCATCTGCTTCAATGAAGAGCATTCAGGGATGTTCTTTTCCATACCTCTGGAATAATGACTGGGTATTGAGTTATTATTGCCTTCCAGTCAGCTCAAAGCAGTGTGGCAATTCTCCTCTAAGTTCTGGCATGAACAAGGTATTTTCATCCAGAGAACTGCAGGTCGTGTCTTGACCGTGTCTACATGTCTAAATCCATTAAGCTCTGGCCACATGACTGGCTGATAAGATATTTCTGTTAATGAGCAGTTGAAAAGGTGTACCTAGCAAAGTCACAGTATTAGAATCAGTTCACTAAGATTCGTCTCAGCTGAATATATATCTAAAAACCTAGAGCAATATTTTTAAAATAGATCATTTGCTCCACAGAGTTCAAAAAGGGAATGATATTTTTAACTGTAAGTTACTTTGCTGTAAGACACCAAAGCACCTAATTTTCTTTCTTTCTCACAATAACACATTTTTGCCTCTGCATAATCTCAAACACTAACTTGTGCTTTATCTTCTACCTCTAAACACTCTCACGTTCAACTCTCAGTGAACTTGGAGGTGTGAGATCGCCTCTCATCATAGGCCAAAGATCACCCACCCACTGTTCTTCAAGCATCAAGACACAAATATTAGCTTTATTCATTATTCACTGAGAGCAGAGGCAGTAGGGACCAGCGCCCCTGCCAAATCAACCATTTAGCTAACAAACACATCAAGGCATGGCAAACTGAATTCAGAATTGCCACTCAGCATGCTGAGTGGGAGGCTACCCCCTGCAGCCATACTTATCAGAACAACAGCAGCACTGGATAAATGTAGTGTTGTTGCAGGCCCAGCGGTACGACATTTTTATCACTAAAACATTTCCCTGAATGCAGAAGTTAGAATAAAATGTGTAAATTCAAGTGAAACAGTGTAATTGGGTCACTTCAATTCAAAATTTTAACTTCAGAAATAAGAAGCCCATCTTTAAACACTCAGAACAATGCTAGGAAATTCTGTGCAGATGGTCCACTGTGAAATATTTGCGTCTGTAGTATAGTCTGCCTGAGCATCTGCACTCAGAATTAAAACATGTGAAAGTTTGCTAATTAAGAACTTCAGAGAATCCACTGTGTCCTACTCCAACCCCAGACCGAGGCACACGTAATAAAATACATTTTGTGTCTGTCAATCAAATCGCTGGGACTATTGTAATTTCAAAGTGAAGGCACATCTCAGTTTCCATATGGTGCTACTGAAGGAAGAACAAAAGCATCATGAATCAACAAAATACCTTTGAAACAAGATTTGCAAGAAAGTAGCTCACTTGTTTTTGCAGACTTAACGTTATATAAGTAGGGTTCCAACTTTGAGATATGCAAGAGAAAGAAGAAGGAGTAGAGCGCTAACCTCTTATCTGCTGCACTTAAGAGAGAAATAAGAGAGAAAGTAAGACAAAGAGGTGAAAGAAATGGAGAGAGAGAATATAATATAATATATTTTAAATGTGTCTGTCATACATTTCTGACATCACAGATGTAACAATGTACCCATGTTGTGATCAGACGATACACTTTCTGACCACCAGAACTGGTGACAGTACCAATATTTGATTGGCTGTGGGCATGCTCAAATTGAGTGTCACAGCAGTGCGTCTCTGAAGTGAGTTTAAAAGTTCAGCCCCCTGATGACTGCTCTCAATCTGTCAGCTGAGGGGTGTGTGGGAGGCTGAGCCTGAGGGGGAGTGGGGGAAAGAGAGAGAGAGAGAGAGAGACACGACCGTGCTTTTCTGTCTGACACTTAGTGGCACACCTTCGCTTTCTATTGCGGCGACAGTGGGGATTTTGAGCACACTGACAGCACAGAGCTCATACTAAAGCACAGAAAAATACTGCAATTCACTCTAATAAGTTCAGCGCCAGACTCTATGTGTGAGCACATAAGTGCTGAGATAAAGCAATGCAAATGCAGGGAGTACACAGAGCTCAGCAGAAGGAACTAAGCTCTAGATGTAACCGCTATGACGTCATCCAAAGATTACTGTATTTCTGTCTTGAAGCCTTGAGGTGAGCATTTTGGTCATTGCACTCTTCGCATTTTGAAACTGAATGTGACAAGCTCTTACTATAGCCAACACAAGATACGCTCGCCCAAACCTGCTTTATCATAGAGTCCAAAATTGACAAAATTCAATCATTTTGCGAACCTGAAGTCTACATTCATTTTTTTAATATACTGTCTAAGCATATAAACTGAGATGATCCTTCCCACTGAGATGAAAAAGAGTTGCTTTTGCTTTATACCTACCCAGCAGTTTCTACTGTATTATAAAAAGACTGTATATAAACATCTTATCAACTGGACTCAAAAATGACATCATATCTTATCGCACACATACACATTGAGAGCAAAACTCACAAGCACTCCAATCATTTTTTAGATATTTCCTAGGAAAATGGGTAACAAGTGCAGTGACGTATTGACACATATGCAAACACACATGGGAATCCTGTATACAAGGCAAAAACAGAGTTTGCGCAATTCTAACAAGCTTGAAAGTCAATATTTGGTATGAGCTCCTTTAGCAACCTTTAATATTTGTTTGTCGGGGCCTTAATGTTTGCTTATTTTTTATTTCTAAATCATTTGACTTTCAGACGCTGTTCATTTCCTGCAGGTACTTTTTTTAGTCCTTTTGTTGTCTTTCTTTGCATTCTACTTGTCCAGTTTCCTTAATTTTTCTAAGGACACACTACGCATCATATCGAGAATGTTTTTCAGTTAATATCTCTTGTGAATCACCTTGCTGTTGTAAAAATGGTATGTTATGCCTGTCAAACTGCGTTATCTTTGTTATTTTTCATAGATTCGACAAAAGAAAGGGGAACAAATTATGTGTTTTTGTGACAGACTGTTACTAATAAAGTGCCTACGGAAACAATTTAAAATTGGTTGTTTGCCAAGTTGTCTGTTATATGTATACACAACACTGGATCTTTCCTTGAGTAAAGTGGCTTTTTTAAGCTTGATGATTCATAAGTGGTGTAACAAATGAAAATGAGTGAAAAAGTAGCCAATCTCCAAAGAACAATTTTGAAAGCGCACAAGAAAGCCTGGACAACTATTGCTCTAGACCATGTTAAAAAATTTACAAACAGTTTGGCTCATTGGAAACAAAAAAGTTTTAGAATGGGCGACTCAGGATGAAGATTAAGAATCGCCAAAGTTAGTCTGGACAGACTACCCTGAAATTCAGACTCAGCTGCTTTCTTTCCCCACTTTGCCTGGCACCAGTATTATGACAGGTAAACTAGTAGAATGGCAGGTATTTTTGGTTGTATTCCCTGGTCAAACTGAAATCAAGTTTTTCACATCTGCCAATTTTAAAAGACATTCGAGCGAATACGTGAGTTCAGTTGTCTCTGCAGGATTACTTACAGATGTATCAATCACATGCACACTTTGATCCATACAACACTGTTTCTGCTGTTTGCAAGTTTGTACATAGGTAAACAAAAAGGTATAACCAAAGAAATTTGAAGCTGTTTGCAGAAGCTGAAATCACAGAGTAACAGCTCAGAACAGGACTTGATCTAAAATTAATAGCAATTCTAGAAGCTGTCTTGACATAACCAAGAAGATTGGCTAGTCTCACATTTAAGTCACATTTTAAATCAGGCAAGTTTTTGTGCCACTTTTTGATCACACCTCCAACAGTTTGGTAGCTTATGAAGTTAATCCTGCCTAAAAATCTGTGGTAATGTTGTCCTTTCTACAACCAAAGCTGGTAAGCAACCTGGAAACAAGAAAAATGTGCTCACAACAACTTTCTATTCAAATCAGTTGTATTTATATAATGCCAAAAGCGCTTTGGCGACAGTATGAAGGAAAAACTCCCTTTTATCAGGAAAAAACATCCTGCAGAACCAGGTTAAGGGAGGGGCAGCTATCAGCCACGACTGGTTTGAAAGACCCCATAACAAAAGAGAAAACATGCATTTAAGCAAAACACTAAATTTTCAAGTTCAGAGAGAGAAATAATTACGATGAAAAGTAGAATCAAAACCCAAAATGACCTTAAATTACCCTAAAATTTAAACAGAGAGGAACAGCCGGAACAGGACTTCATCGCTTACCTGGACAACTTCGTCATCCTCTTCTAGTAGACTCTCCAACACATCTACTGCCATCTAATTTAAAGAGAGACAAACAGATATTTACCATTTTTAAAAATGTATTAAAATTACAAACAACAATCATACTACACTCATTTTAGTCTGTAGAAATTCATCAATACTCCCTCTATTCTCAGGTTTTGACTGACAAACCAACATGCATAAAGGTAAAGACAATATTGTTGCACACAATCTAGCACATCTTCCAGTCAGCCCAATCAATCAGATGGATCAGAGGGTCTGATAAGCATCGAACAGGTCAGCAACCCATACACCGCACCGTCAATACCAACAAGACAACAGACATGATCGTCAATAGATACACTTACAAGTACTTATCACACAGTCGATAGTCACTTTAGCCACCGTCTACCATTGCCTTTTTTCCCAGCATTTTGTCTTTATTAGAGACGAGCAGCAGGGAAAGACCAGAGCAGTCAATACCATATATTCATAGTAGCCCCCTCCACTCCTTAGGATACACGATAAACCTAAAGACCAACCAGACCCAGAGCCCGTATTCCCCTTCCTCTAAAGCATTTGTCTGATTTCCTCCCTGTTGTGTCCTGCGGAGGCGGTGTGAGGTCTCAAAGGGGTTTAATGTTAGGTGACCTTTGTCACAGCACTGTCTGGGTCAGTTTCTGTGGGAAGTTTCCATTACAGAAATCAGACCTTGACTAAAGTAGGCTGGGTGTTTGTTTTGCTCTGTCTCCCTCCTTGTGGAACCTGTGGTTGTGGTATATGTGTGTGCGTGTGTTTGTGTGTGAGGCCCCAGGTGATGATATATTGATTTTTGTCTACTTCAGGTTGGAGGCGACTGTTAGCCAATCACCCGTGGTGAAGGGCAGGAATAAAAGACACGCACGGACCTGTGCATTCACACACACACCACTTTACAGTCACACACTACAAAAAACAACAATGAGCACAACAAGCAGCACTTGTTTCTTGTTAAGGGAGTCTTATTAGCTGGAGAGCTTCCTAATTCCCCCCCCCCTCCTGCTCGTTGGAGTTCTCTGCTCTTTTCATTAAGTCTATGCGGTTCCGGTGGCGATAAAGAGGTCTGTTGGCTGCATAGAGTAAGGGGTGTCAGGTTAATTGAGAGTATCTCATTAAGATTGTGCAAATATGCATGTCAGGGAGTCAGTTGATTGATTGCCAGACCAATTAGCAGCTGAAATACCATTGTCCTTAATTAATTAATGACTGATTAAAAATACACAAACAAAAACATCTAATCCCAGCCGATGATGAATGGATTCATGTCCAGCTTCAGAATGATCTACTATCTACTTTCACTGTATCACTACAAAGTGACAGACACACAAGCTGCACACACACACATTCAAACACAGTAAATCGAGCCAAGCACTAGATATAAAGATAGGAGAAAAGATCTGCTTGGATATTAAACAAGTGAAAGAACAGGCAGTTTTTGGAGCTACAAAAATAGAACAAGAGATATCTGGGAGCCAGGATAAGTGAGCAATGATAACCATTATATCGTCTCCAACTGCACATCTTCCTAACTACACCGGTCAGCCCAGGGGCGAGTAATTAAAGATTCAGAGATTCTTAGGCCGCTTCATGCTCTAAACAACAACAAGATTAATATTCCCATGAAGATAAGGCGAAAATTGGACGAGAGGTTAAAAAAAAAATAAAAAATCTTAATAAACATTGCAAAAGTGGTTCAAGAAAAACAACAGTGCGCTACAGACACACGCAACCAATAACACGTGCAAGACGATACATACATGTTGTCCTCCTTATTTTAAGAACTGTTGAAGGAACCAAAAGAAAAAAAACCTGCATTCTGTGGAGGAACTCATTTATAATGTCCATCGTGTGCATGTGCACAGTGTGTGTGTGTGTGCGCTCATGTATCCATTTCTGCATTTGTGTAATCTTCAGGCAATTTTGTTTAACAGAATCATTTTACTGGAGCGCACAGCAGAGACAGGAGAAAGACAAATCACTTTACAAGCAAGGGCAAGCTATATCTCACACACATACACGCACACGCACGTAAACAGGGACATCGAGACTTAAGTAAATAAATCCTGGGGATGTCACTGCTAACTGTACTTGCAAGCAATATAGGAAAGTACAAGCTGTACATTGTGAACTAAATATAAGAACAGAAACATTCAATAAATAAAATACAGCCAAAGAAGAGTGACAATGACAAGGTGCGTAACTACCCATCAGCTTCTGCAACGCCTCAGCTAAGAGACACTTGAATGGCTGTCAGGGGAGGGTGCCTGTCTGTCTGTCTGTCTGCTGTGTGGCAAGTGAATCAGTGGTTGTGATAGGTGATCACGGTAATGTTTGTGTGTGTGTGTTACAGTAGGGAAAACGCTGTTACCACGCTGTTTTTTGATTTTTTAAATCAAGACTATAAAAATACATCATTCAATAGCCACTTTATTAGGCACACCTGTTCAACTGCTAGTAAATACAAATATCGAATCAGCCAATGATATGCATTGAGGCTACAGACTGTGCATCAGAATGGAGAAGAAAGGTGATTTAAGTGATTTGTAATGTTTGGTTGTTGGTGCCAGAAGTATTGCACAAACTGCTGAACTACTGGGATTTTCCTACACAAATGTGTCTAGGCTACAGACAATGCTCCGATAAAGGAAAATATCCAGTGAGTGGCAGTTCTTTGGGAGAAAATGCCTTGTTGATGAGATATCAGAGATCAGAAGAGAATAGTCAAACTGCCTCAAGCTGATAAAAAGACAACCGTAACTCAAACAACCACTTATGACACCCAAAGTATGCAGAAGAGAAACAGAAGGCCAGGCCTGGTGTCTCTCCTGTCAGTTAAGAACAGGAAATGGAAAATGTGCATAGTCTCATCAAAACTGAACAACCCAGGATTGGAAAAAACACAGCCTGGTCTGATGAGAAAGTAAGATATGCTAAGATAAGTGGTGGTGTATTGTGTGGGAGATATTTTGTTGATATGCCTTGGGCCCCTGAGCCTCATTTAAATATCCCAGCCTACCCAAGTATTGTTAGTGACCATGTAAATTCCTTTATGTGAACAACACAGTGTACCCCAGTGGTTTGTTGAACATGGCAATACATTCAAATGGCCTCCACAGTCAACAGCTCTCAATCCAACAGAGCACCTGTGGGATGGAACAGCAGATTCAGAGATGGTACGGTCTAAAATGTTTGCAGCACCTTGTGCAAACTATGCCATAGAAGAATAAAGCAAAATAAATTATGTATGTAAATATATATATTAACATAATTCCTATAAATCACTGATGCCCCCACTCCCTTTCAAAGGTCAACAAACTCAGTCAAATAGACTGATGTGACTATTTTAATGATATTTCCTACGATATACTACAGAGACCCTCATATTGGAAAAGATGGGCACCACATAATAGTTGGTATTTTCGCTTGATAAACAAACAAGTAAGCAACCAATCATCTCCACACTGATTGCATTAAACTGTTTAGAATTTATTCTATAAAATATCAGGAAACCTCAGAAAACATGGTCTTCAAACTGCTTGAAAATATCAGATATATTCAGATTAAAGATTTTTAACAGCAGCAAAGTATCCCATATTAAACGCTGGAACCAAACATTAATGAAGACAAATGACTAAAACCAAATGAAAACCCAATTAATTTTCCATCAATCAAACCAATAACAAACCTGTTTAAGCACTGCAAGCGCTCTCACAAATATGGGGATATTAGACAATAAAACCAACATGTTTGTCTCACTTCTCACTTCTTTTGCTTCCAAGCACCCTCGTGCGCTCTTAATCTATTTCCATTCTGGAAATCACAAACAAACTTGGCAGTTATTCAACTAATCAAAAGAGGGAGGAAAAAAAGACTCGCAAAAGCCTTTTTGGTGACTTTTTTCTCCTCTTCTAATTTAAGTGGCACAGATCCATGTTTTGCAGAAACAGTTGACTGAAGAGAAGAGCAGCAATTGTGAAACTGATGTTTTCATGAATTTATTAACACAGTGTGTTTGGAATGTTTTCTATCACATTTTTTAAAGTAAACAAGAAAATCGCACAATGTAGCACAAGTACAACCAGCCTATGTCATGGTTTTCATGCTCTTATCCCTTTCTCAGTCAAATTTACTATCACATTCAGCTTTTCATGTGGCAAAGGTTTTTTATTTTTAAAGATTTCCTCCAAAAAACAACTGAAAGCCACAGTCTTGACAAATTTTTTTATTATAAAAGATAACTATGGATTTTAAAAATAAATAAACTGTAATATTTGCACATGCTCTGAGTTTGACATTATTATTGCTGACGCTTTTTAATGACAACCAACTACCCTCATAAGAAACCTTGAGTTTTAAGACGGTGGTGAGACAGGTCTATGACCTAGTAAAGTGTGCCCAAGAGATGTGACAGTGTCTACCCACTAAAGACAGTTTGTCTTGAAAACATCTGCCCAGTGTTTTTCAGCAAAATCTTTCTCATTTTGATGAGAATTGGTGGAGGGAGATAGAGCATAAGGCAAAGAAAGAACCTGCTCAATTTTGGTGCTGATCTGAATTTGTGGGGTGGAAAATAAGACCAGACAGTGAAGACTTCTGGGGAAGTCTCCACTATTTTAGTAAACTTCTATTTCCCACCACTATGCACTATAATAACCACACTAACACTGCCTTATTGTGGCCTAGTTAATTTGAATTCAACCCACATAACACAAAAGTACAGACAAAGACCATGAGATGAAGTTTCTGCCAAAGAACATGGTAGTACCTCTACACCTTGTGCCATTCTAAAATTAACATTTATTTACTAGACGTGGCTGTATGCAGTTACAGAAAACAAACAGACAAAAAAAATTCTTTAATATGTTTGGGGGTATTTTTTGGCAAATATATTAATGCAAATTTCAAAGCCTTGGCCCAGCTTTGGGGACCAAACAAATTATTCAATGGGGAGAAAGAGACAATTGGTTATATTCTGGCACCATTTTCGAAAGACAGCCTTCCAACTAATAACTCTACTGGAAGTAAACAACTTTACACAAAGTTTACAAAGAGCATAAACTGTGCATAGATCCTTCTAAGTGAGACAATGTGTGTGTGAGTATGTGTGACAGAGAAGTACCGGAAGCAAAGAGCTGAGAGGATGTTCCTATCAAATCCAAGTCCCAAATCCCAGGCTGGGAGAGACAGACAGAAAATTGTTTGCTTTTACTCTACTTTCACCCTTAAATGCAATTGCCAGAAACTCCAAATAGCCCTTTACGTGTGTGTGTGTGTGTGTGTGTGTGTGTGTGTGTGTACACATACTTGAGCACATGGCAAAATATTTGACGTTATAAAGCAGTAGGAATGGGTGCGGTTTGTGGTTCGGGCTTCATGACACCAACAGCAGGATGAAGACAAACGACATGTCAGAAACTGTGGACCGAGACGTTGTCATTTTACTGATACACCTGACAGCCCATCTCCCGCACACATGCACCCAAAGATATAACTGCAGCTGAGCTATTTGGGTGTGAGCTGGGGGAAGAGGAGAAAAAAAAAAAAAGGGGGGGGGGGGAGGACACTGTTCTCATTTCCCATAAGTAATAACCATAAACCACCCAACAAGAGTGACTGAAAATTAATCATTGGATCACAATAGAAAGTCGCTAAACTGCTGTTGGTGTGGCGGTAATCACCGAAAATGACTTCAAGCGTTAATGACAGCGTTAGGAGTTTTAGCACTGAACTGAAGGCAGTGAGCCACTGAAATCAAGGCCATTAACACCAGAAATTCCTGAGTGATTTAGTAGAGAAGTATGCTGTTTCGAGATATGGCCGCAATTCATCAGACCACAGCTTCAATCTTTTTTTATTTTTTTTAAATTTTACTCTTCCTCCCAATCCCTCCACCCTTGTGTGCCTCCCTGAGCCCTATCCCTTTTTGTAAATACCACTCTTCAATTATTGACACTAAACTCCAGAGGGGATAAAGACCAGGCATGGCCTTCCCACCTTCAGTGCTATTCACCAGAAAGGAAAGCATACAAACACACAGATGTGCGCACACGCAAAAAATGCCAGGCTGCCCTCCCACCACGAAACAAACACAGACCAACAACAACAAGGGAGTGTACGAGCACGACACAGCAAACATTTTACCTCGTACTCCTCTGACTCAATGAGCAGTTTGGCTGTGGTGATGCGAGACTCATACGGAGGGATCTCATTCTGTAGGAGAGAAAGAAAGAAGAAGAAAAAAAAAGGACAATACAACCACCTCTGCAGTGAGTGCTTTCACAGGCATCCACAAACATAGTTCTTCCTTTGTCTGATAATAACACAATCCAATTTCAAGGTACAAAACGTTTTTCAGCTATGTGGCTGTTAATCACAGCCAAAGTGTCAGCAGGCTGTGTTCACATCAACCTGCTCCCGAAGATAAGAGTCATAAGAGTGGTGTCACTGGGATTATTGTATCAAATCATCACACCAAACCCTCTTACATCACTTTTTTATTATTTGAATCTGCAATTTATTTTGAGCTATTCAAAGCCCATCCAGCTTTGACATTATAGCCATTTTTCCTTGATCAAATTCCATGTTGTACTTTGCTTGTTTATACTTTAAAACCCTTCCTGGTGTTGAATTTATTATTTGCTTTCTCTCTGTGCACTCTAACACAAATACATACAGGTTTGTGAAGTCTGTGCTCCACCTTTCATCTTCTATCATTCCCTCTTAATCTCTTACTCTTTTTTTTCTTTTTTTTTTATCTGTACAGCTGTCCTTATATTTGCGCATACCACATAGCATGCTGTGAAAATCTTGTTAGTTAAAGGGGCTTTATAAATAAACCGGGATCTTACTGGGGCTGGTGGAAGTGAGACAAATACCAGCCTACAGCTACAGCCTACCTGAATGTCTTCCCCTGCGCTGGACGAAGCTGCTCTCTGTTTTAGCGCAGGTAGCCACATTCCAACACTCTTCAACAGGTAATCTTTGCCTTCCTGAACACAGAAAAAGAGCATATAAATATAAAAAGCTTTATAAAAAAAATATACATTTCATTTCTTATGCAAATGTATATACAAGAGTAATTGGAGAATGCACTCTTCACACAAATCAGTTCCTACAGACTAAGCCCACTGTATAATTTACTTCCACAGACTAGCTATTGGATTTTCTACAGAAACCAAGAACCCCTGGATTAATTTGGGAAAAACTTATTTTTTCTTGTTTCTTAAAAAAAATTCCAAAAAAGGAGACTTTGTCACAGGATGTGGAAAGGTGTGGAGTGAGACTGGAACCAGCCTGACCCCTACAGCTTACAGGTAGTATTACAGATCCTTCGCTGCTCAGTTTGGTGATAGGAGTGCATGGAGAGTACGGAGAGACAGTACAGAGGTTTGAAGATACCCATTACATATAGCTTGCAAAAAAACAGTGGTAGGTACACTGAATGTTGTTTGTTGTATCATCAGTGCATGTTGAGGATGATTCAGGTAGACAGCACTGCCAACAAATACTTCCACGTGGTAATTTAAGGCCATATTTCAATTAGATTACATTTCAAGTAAACAATAAACATGTTTAAATACTTTCAAAAAAAGCCTTTGCCTTGAATGCCTTCTATTAACAGTGGTTTAAGATGCTCTTCATTTAGCAATGTCTCCCGCATGTACAAATATGCATGTAATGTAAAAATACAGAAAGTTTATTTAGGATATTGTTCTAAACTCACTGTCAAATGTTACACTCAAAAGGTCCTGTGGAATGTTTTCTAAATTTAGTCCAATATGCTTTTCCCTCATCTTTTCTCTTTTTAGCAGATGACTGCATGACCTTAATGATCCGCCCAGTAATTAACATTCCTATCGGCATGACCTGTCCATCTGCTGATTAATCGCATACGATTCAATTTGCTCAGAATAATTAACTCAGCAGATTCCCGCTTTAATGTGGTGATAACTCATCTCAAGTGTGTGTGCGTGTG